GTTTAGAGGGAATAAATTTCCGTTATAACGGAAACGTGGGCACAGTTATCTAACGTTGTACAAAATACACAGACTAACTAACTAACTAACTGATTGACTAACATAAACAACTGAAAATTGAAAAAAAATTAGCTTGCACCGTTAGCTCCGGTAAGGGAAAGCATGAGGGAAAGCGGCTGACCGGAAGTCACGCACAAAAAAACGGAAGTTGATCACTATTTACTTCCGTGTTTGAAAATAAGGTGGATAGTGAAGCTGATTTGTGTTTGAAACTGTCTCTATGAAGCCATGTTTAATGTGTGTTTAATGTGTGTTTTGAATCAACTCAACTTTACAGCACTTCACAGAAACTTCGCCGTCGACTAGTGTTTTGGAGGTGTAACTGCAGAGTGACACAGACACACTGCACCGCAAGTATAAATGCTCACAACAGTGTAGGCTCTGCCGCACAAGTTTAAATCCCCCTTAAGGCAGACGAGCGGAGCTTTAGCTGGTGAACATCACGTTTCTTAAGTAGCATTGAGCTAAAATTAATACTGAATTACGTTAAATGATCGCCAAAGGTGTTAGTGTCTGTTTTTTGAGTTTGTAAGAAATGACAAATCAACCCAGATAGCACACATACATCTGGCTGACGTCGGCCCGATGTATCAAGTTTAGATCGTTAAGACGTAGCAGGGAGAGTGTTTGCTCATTGCCAAGATGTCGCTGAGACGTCAGCCTTTAATCGAAAATGACCACCACGCGACATTCAAACGATCAATAAAATAAGCTGCAGCTCAACAATCAGTCCTTCATCTCGGAAAAACAGTGGTTTCAAAACTGCGTTACTACCTGTAGCCACCGGGTCAGTTTGCTTTGCAGAGGAGGAGACCTGACTGATAAATTGCCCATAAAATCACATTAACAACATACTGAAGGCATCCTTAAACTTCACTATTCCACCTCCGCGCTCCTCTCTGCTGGTCTCACCGACATTTCAGCACCCGTTCTGGGATACACAGTGTCGGCCCGCCCTGCCTGACCGCGGGACCACGGGTGGCAGCTCCGGGCACTTCCACTTTAACCAAAAAGGAGTGCTCACGATAACCAGATGAGCAGATAACGTCAACTAGGGAAAATAAAATGAAAACACCACAGTTGTAGCCTGTTAGCATAACATGAGCTAAACCGCTAAACTAGCTAACAGCTAACGAAAGATAGCGTTAGTTGGTGGGGACATGTGCTAAGCTATATACACCCAGTCGTGCCTCGCCACTCACCAGGACCCTCTTTTAACGGTCACAGAAGAAACAACAAAGCTATTTTCTGCCAGTTTATTCCAGTTAGCTTACCTGAAACCAACTGCGATGAGATGCTGCGTGCTGCGAGCTCAGTTCCGAACAAACATCGCGGAGATGAAATCCCGCCTCTGTGGCAACTTCCGTATGTGGGCAGACATTATACGGCACTGGGCCGACCCAAAGCCGACGTAACAGAGACGTTTGATGAGCTGGGACAAAAGAGTATTAAATTTAAAGATATCCGCCCATGCGGCCGACGCTTGTCAGACGTTATAAATTCAGGGCCGATGTGTCGTCCTCAGGCCGACGTCGGCCAGATGTATGTGTGCTATCTGGGAACTTTAGGAAGGAGCAGATGTTTACCGTTAGCTAGCTCGAGCAAGATTTAACAGTATGCTAACGTAGCAAGGCAAGCTAATTGCTAATGTGCTTGGTGAAAAGTTGAACAATCAACGCTTTGAGACGGCTGTCAGAGATGACAGAGGTATGATCACATTAAACTGTCTGAGGTGTAACAGGTGATGTGTTCCACAAGTTTTGTTTCCAAATGACTTTAGAAAAGATTACCATACCATTAGGTACCAATGCCATCGAAAAATGCAGGTTATGCAACAAGTAGTTCCGAATGTGCTCGATTCAGCAAAACAGCACACCTGGATCACCAGAGCAGATAGGCTACAATGCAGCAGCATGAACATGTAAACATGTAGACAGTGATATTCAATATGCTCCGCCCACAGTCTCTCATCCACAGACACTAACGTTATGTCTGACACAAGGACAACACGCTAGTTCAGCTGATAGTGAATTGTTACTAATAAGCTCAAATGACAGCTGTCTGTATGTAGACTAACTTAGTTTGACACTTATCTTAAAATACTTTTAAACTGAGCTGCTGGCTGAGACAAACAGCCCCAACTCTCTACACCACCATGTAACCAGCCAATAAGCTGGCGGGGCCAAATACAGGGCACACAGCGAATCATCTACGCCATGAGCCTGATTTGAATACATTTTCCGGAACTTTGAGGTGCGGTGGAAACACAAACCACACAGATTACCAGGAATTCTTTTACCCAGGTAAATAAATTCCTGGGAATAAAAGTTCCTGGAAATGTTGGTGGAAAAAGGGGCTATTGATGGTTTTGTTTATTTGGATCCATACGGCCGACTCAGTTTGATAAACAGTTGGAAGAAGATGAGGCTGCGGCTGTTGCTTTGGTTCATATTGGACACACACATGCTCCATATGTGTTCATGTATATGGGTTAAGATTTATTGAAAAACTCTTCACAATCCTGTGAATATTATGTAGTCTAATATATAAACATAACCACACCAGAAGTCAACGTTCATTAAACTAATAATATCTGAAACATTTTTTGTTCTTTATTTCAAATGACCTGAAAGACTGATGAGCAAAACGACACCTAAAAATAGGTTTTTAGGATATCTTAAAAACAAATGATCTGACAAATGCTCACGATGTTTCTGCAGCTGTTATATAAATATTTATAGAATAATTAACCTCAGTAGAACAATTTCAGAACTTTACCTTAACCACTGCATTTGCAAAAGTTCTCCAATATACTTATAAAGGCACGACAGAGTGTGCTTTAACGTCATTTCAGTGATGCGTACAAACCTCAGCCCTGACCACATCACTGTTGTGCTACAAATGACATCAAAACACAGCTTCTGGTGTAATATTGCTTAGTTATGGTTCAGTGCAGGAAGCCATGCCCATAATTCACGCAAGGTATCGTGGGGGCTAGGAATTAGGTGGATAGACCAACATGCATAGCTGGTCAGATATATTCTCAGCAGTTAACCGATCAACGGCTGACCATCGACATCTCTAAAATATTTTGGTTTATGATTAAATACCTGCAAAACTAATGACATTCACATCAGCCTCAGCTGGACTCTGTATAGACCCTTTTAAGGCCGATATCACGATGACATCATGTTATCAGCTGGAGGTGCAGCTGCCTCTCCCTCACAGGGCTGTAGGCTCCATAGGAGTGTTAAAATGTGTTTGTCTTGTTGTGTTATTGGGAGCCAGAATAGAAGGAGTCATGGCTCAAAACCAGTCGCCACTGCCCGTCAACAAAAACAAAGACAACTATGGTTAAATGTGATAAGACCAAAGGACTGGACGGAGGCCGTCATCAAAAATGCTCACATGTGCAGCGCACACTTCATATCAGGTTAGGGAAAAAGTATTTCCTGTTGTAGGGATGAATAACGTTATGTGTATTAAGGGTTATCATGTCCACCTCATCAGAAACTGGGGAGGGATTAAGAGGAATATTGGATTTCTCTGGAACGCTAACTTTTTAGTTAACTTAACGTTAGCTTCATAAGCAAAACAAAACAGAGGAAACTGTTCAAGTGTCCAACCGAGCGGCACGTTCAGACAGTGCTCTGAATGTACAAACTGTCCAGTTTGTGCCAGAGTGTGAATTAATTTTTCTGAATGCAGGACTCCTATCGTCTTCCTCCATTGTCTAAAACAAGTCAACAGAACTTGCTAGCTAGCGCTAGCTAATGTCTGTGGAGAATTTATTTGCCTCCAGCTAAGCCCCACTCACCAAAAAATGTCATACTGTTTGCTAACAGTTAAAGGGTCTATTTGCTGCGAATTAGCTAATGTTAGCATGCCAACACGCTAAACTAAGAGAGTGAGCGTCAGCTTGTTAGCATACATTCGTTATTGTGAGCAAGTCATCGTACAAACAGTTTATTAGACAGCGAAGACAGCACAGGTCCAATGAGATGATTCTTTATTTTTCAAACACCAATTTGAATTTTATTACTTCTTATTAAGACGACAGACACCAGCAGGGCTTGAAATTAACGCACAGTAACCATGGTGAATGTGGGTACAAACTTGTTTACATTTGGGGGTGTTAGTGAGATTGTAAATATCACAGAACCCTACTGAATTGGACTTAAGCCAAAATCCTCTGAATTCTTTTAAATTTTACCTGTGATTTTTGGTTTATTTGAAATTTTGACTGCAGAGAATTCAGAGTGGCTGGTCATTTTAGAAATCAGTAGCCATTTTTGATCCATAAAGTTAATTTCAAGCCCATCCATTAGAGTGAAAGAAAAAAAAAAGAGCAATAACTTAAGTCCTTCAGCAGGCTACATCACAGCATGTAACTCAGGATACCTATATAATAAACTATTTATATATATATTTATAAACACATAACACTTCCACCAACAATAATTATAATAGTTATTACTACAACAATAGTAATGAGTGTAATTATAATGATAATATATATTTAATTGTCTTTAATCACATATCTTTGATTCTGGTTTGTTGCTGATGGTTCGGCTGCTTCTCCATGTTTTAGAAAGAAATAAAGAACAGATCATTGACACCATGTCCCAGTTTGATATGATGTAGTCATGTGTGAGTATTAATTCTGCAGTTACTAAGCGATAAACATGACAGACTGCCAATTTTAAATTTAAAAGCCAAAGCGAGTTAATATTATAATCATAAGTAAGTGACCCCAGAATGGAGCCCTGTGGGACTCCATGTTTACCGCTGTGGTTTGTTTTTGTCTTTTTATTACTTTTTAATGCTACTACCAAAATTTACTCCAATGTATTTAGTCATTACTGTTTTTGTAGTGAACAATCTGGAGCACCACAATTTATTTTAATTTTGTTTTAGTGTTGCCTAGTGACAGAACAGTGTCCAACAGCACCACACCCCAAAATTTGATTTTAGTCCCCAACAAAGTTCTTTTAAACTACACTTTATTTAGTCAGTTTCTGACTGTTATCAGTTCAAATTAGTTGTTGTGTAAAGTTGGGACACGATGATAGAGAGATTCATACAATGAGGCCAAACCCTTCTTCCCATTTAAGCGACAGGACTGGTTCTGTAAAAGACACACAGACAGACGAGATTAGAACAGTATCAAGTCTAAAACTTATTCCAACAGTACATGAGTGTCACTCAGGAGCCACCTGAGCCACTAAATAAAGAACATAATGTAACTGCAATTAATAAAAGGAGGATGCAATAAAAAGTGATGCACATAAAAATAAGACCAATAAACAGGCAATATATTGACAACAATACACATGAAGTCAAATGTTAACTGAAAACCACATTGTTCGTCATAAGTTGCACAGCTATGGGCAGAAAAATCCTCTTAATTAACACATATATTTTAAAAGGCTACGCTGTTTACGTGCACTGTTGTATCAATAGAAAGCAATCACTGCAAAGTCTTGACATCTCGGCACATTTTTTTCCCCATATGAATATGTCTTTCTGACTGAGGCGAGAATCATTTCTTTGTGTTGAGTTTTTTTTCCATCTTGACAAATCCTTTTGGTTTGAAAATATACTTTATAAATCTGTAAAATACAAGATTTTACACTTTGTCAGTGATAGAACAATACCTTATTTTTCTAATCTGTCCACCAGCTGTCAATCATTAGCCCCATATGAGCAGGGGAAATCTCTGCTTGTTGCTACTCTAATTTATACTATGTAAATTGCCATAGGCTTGTGCTAATTTAACATTAGCATGTTTAGTATAAGACAAATGTTTTGTCAGTGAACCTTGTGAGTTGTAATGGAGCCAAATTTTGTAATGTTACCTTTGTTAAATGTTGCTGTTGTCCCTGGCTTCATATGAGTAGAGGAAAAGTGTGCTAGCCGCTTGGCTAATTTATACAATGTAAAATGCCATAGGCCTGTGCTAATAACATTAGCATGTTGTATTTGTGGGAAAGTGTGTCCAGATAAAGACAAGTGTTTGTCTGTGAATGCTGCGAGTTATAGTGAAGTTGATTTGTGTACTTGTGTTAGAAATTGTCGCTATAAAGCCATGTTTAATGTGTGTTTTGAATCATGCTTATCCATGCTTTTGTTTCTAGCTGTTTGGATTACTGCAACGCACTGTATGTGGGGCTAAACCAGGCCTCCCTAGCGCGTTTGCAGCTTGTTCAAAACGCGGCAGCACGTCTCCCAACAGGTACCTACAAGCGTGAGCACATTACACCCATCCTGGCCTCCCTCCATTGGCTTCCGATCAATTTTAGAATTGATTTTAAGATTTTGTTGTTTGTTTTTAAAGCGCTGAATGGGCGAGCTCCCCAATACATCGTTGACCTCCTAAAAGTGTACATCCCCTCAAGGTCACTGAGGTCGGCCGATCAGCTGCGGCTTGTGGTCCCAAAAAGCCGTTTGAAAATGAGAGGTGACCGCGCCTTCTTGGTAGATTCAGATTCAGATTTTCTTTATTGTCATTGCAACAAGTGCAACGAAAGGTAAGGTGCAGGCCATTCAGTGCAAAAAAACAAAGCAAATATATAAAAACTTTGTAAAAATAAAAACACAAAAAGACAGGATAAATTACAATAAATAGGCACAGTCTAAAAAGCACAGATTGAAAAGGGTATGTACATAAGGTGCAGAGAGGCTGTAGTGTGTATATATACAGTGGATATAGAGGTAGTGTCAGTTGTATCAGTATATTGCACATATTACAGACAAGAGTTATTTAGGGCTCTTACAGCAGCTGGAAAAAAAGCTGTTTTTCAGTCTGTTTGTCCTGGTTTTGATGGCCCTGTACCGTCTGCCCGATGGCAGTAGCTCAAACAGGAAGTGGCCCGGGTGGTAGGAGTCCTTCAGGATGGTGTTGGCTCTCCTGAGGCAGTAAGAGCCATGAAGGTCCTCCAGTGTGGGCAGAGGGCACCCAATGACCTTCTCAGCCATTTTGGTGACCCTCTGGAGTTCTTTCCTGTTTGCCACTGAGCAGCTGGCAAACCACGTACAGAGGCAGTATGTGAGGATGCTCTCCATGGTGGAACGGTAGAAAGACACAAGCAGTTTCTGCTGCCCCTAGGCTATGGAATGACCTGCCTGCCCATGTTAAAATGGCCCCCACTGTAGAATCTTTTAAGTCCCGCCTCAAGACCCACTTGTTTTCCTTGGCTTTTGATTCTGGTTGACGAGTAGACCAACCTGTCTCTGTGTCATTTTATCCCTTGAGCTTGCTGTACTGTCTGTCTCGCTTCTGTATCTATGACCTGTATATTTCATATGAGTATTTCTGTATAGTCCTATGTGGATATTCTGTATATTTTTATGTGGATTTCTGTATATTTCTGTATGTGTATTTTTGTGCAGCACTTTGGTAACTTTGTGTTTTTGAAATGTGCTATATAAATAAAGTGGACTGGACTGGACTGGACAACTAAACCCCCAGAAAACTTCCTAGAAACCCCGCTGCTGACTAATGTTTTGAAGGCGTAACTGCAGAGTGACACAGGCACACCACCGCACAAGTATAAATGCTCACAATGGCATAGGTCATGTGCGTAGGCTACAGTGTAGGGTCTGCCGCACAAGTATAAATCCTGTTTTATCCTGTTTAATGTTACTCAATGCCTGAGTTGACAACGTGAATCCATCAGCACACCTTAAATTTCACTGTGACAACTTTGACCATTCCATTAGTTTTTATTGTCTCTCTTGGATGACAGACACTTTTAGTAATGAGTGGATCTTCACACGTTTATATCTATTAATTTGGACCGGATTATGTGAACTGCATATATTCTAATCCTCACTGGGGGAAAAAAAGAAAGTGTTGCAGAGCATCGTTCCTGTGGGCTACAGCAACACTAAACCCCTGAGCTTGCCTGAGAAGGACTAAATGCACAAAGCTGCTATTTTTAAATATCCCATGGAGAGAGACTCTCACTGCAGGGCTCTTTAGGACCTTTGGGCATAGACTTCACAGGCAGTGGCTTCACCGGCTCTTAAGGAACTTTGGCTCTTTAGGAACCAGCAGGAGCTAGTAACTTATGGCATCTGAAGGGTTACTGTTGGTTCCAAAGGTACTATACAGAAAGTGTTTGTGGAAACGGAACTATTGAGACACATTAGAAAATGAAAACTATCTTACCCCTTAGACACACTGGTAACCAACAGACAGGTATTTCTTGGTGAGTGGACAGGGGTCTCCCGCCAGTGCATTGGATGCCTTGATATCACATTCGGACTTCTTGTTACAGCTAGAAGAGTGGGATGGAAAGAGAAAAACTTGCGATCAATCTGATACATTTTTCTTGTTATTTTTGTTACCTGTCTGTCTACACGTGGTCTTACCTTTTGGTCACAGTGTTGGTGATATCTTTTCTGCAGGTCAAGCTTTGTAGGTTTCCCTCCAGCTGTTTTGCTGCGCAAACACCTCTACTTTGTCGACCATACATGGCGGACCGCAGCTGGATTGTTGTCCCCTTAGCTGCAGAGAGACAGAGTGAAATCATGAGCAACAATGAGACACATTCATGTACACCATGGCACACAACTGGCAGTGTGTGCAGGAGCTAGTAACTTACGGCATCTTAACTTCCCGCTCCGTCCCTCACAGATCACCAGTGACTTGCAGCAAGATTGTCCTTTGCAGCAGCAACACTTCCCTTTGCAGTTTTGCTTGCCTTTGCAACAGCGTTTACCTTTGCAACAACATTTGCCAATGCCAGAGTGTTTGCCACGATGTGTAGGTTTTTTGGGACTGCCGGGATGTTTGGGCATTTTAGGACGTTTAGGACGTTTAGGCCTTTTAGGACGTTTAGGCCTTTTAGGATGTTTGGGCCTTTTAGGACGTTTAGGCCTTTTAGGACGTTTAGGCCTTTTAGGATCTTTAGGCTCTTTAGGATCTTTAGGCTCTTTAGGATGTTTGGGCATTTTAGGACGTTGAGGCCTTTTAGGATGTTTAGGCCTTTTAGGATCTTTAGGCTCTTTAGGATCTTTAGGCTCTTTAGGATGTTTAGGCATAGGCTTCATGGGCTCTTTAGGATCTTTAGGCTCTTTAGGATGTTTAGGCTGTATAGGCACTATAGGTCCACTAGGCTTTTTAGGTATGCTGGGAAGTTTGCTGGGAGATTTAGATTCTGTAGGTACTTGAGGTTTTGAGGGAGTTACAGGTGGTTCAGGTACTACAGGTGGTGAGGGAGGTGGAGGTGGCGCAGGTACTAGAGGTGGTGCGGGTGGTGGAGCTGGCGGAGGTACTACAGGTGGTGCGGGAGGTGGAGGTGGCGGTGTTGGTGGCACTACAGGTGGTGCAGGAGGTGGAGGTGGCATCACAGGTGGTGCAGGAGGTGGAGGTGGAGGTGGTGGTGGCACTACAGGTGGTGCAGGAGGTGGAGGTGGCGGTGGCACTACAGGTGGTGCGGGAGGTGGAGGTGGCGGAGGAACTACAGGTGGTGCGGGAGGTGCAGGTGGCAGAGGTACTACAGGTGGCAGAGGTACTATAGGTGGTACAGGAGGTGCAGGTGGCAGAGGTACTACAGGTGGTGCGGGAGGTGCAGGTGGCAGAGGTACTATAGGTGGTGCAGGAGGTGCAGGTGGCAGAGGTACTACAGGTGGCAGAGGTACTATAGGTGGTGCAGGAGGTGCAGGTGGCAGAGGTACTACAGGTGGCAGAGGTACTACAGGTGGTGCGGGAGGTGCAGGTGGCAGAGGTACTACAGGTGGCAGAGGTACTATAGGTGGTGCAGGAGGTGCAGGTGGCAGAGGTACTACAGGTGGCAGAGGTTCAACAGGTGGTGCAGGAGGTGCAGGTGGCAGAGGTACTACAGGTGGCAGAGGTTCAACAGGTGGTGCAGGAGGTCCAGGTGGCAGAGGTTCTACAGGTGGTGCAGGAGGTCCAGGTGGCAGAGGTTCTACAGGTGGTGCGGGAAGTCCAGGCCACAGAGGTCCTAAAGGTGAGGGACCAGGTGGCAGAGGATATTCAAGCTGTGATATGTGTATGTGAAGACTTTCGGGGTGTGGAGGTGGTGCAGGTATTTGGGTTTGTCCAGGATGTGGCGATGCTTTGAAATGTGACAGGATTGCAGATAAGAGGTTTATGGCTGTTCTTGAAGGACATCCATGTGGTGGGGGTGGATACAGTTGTCTTGGAGAGAAGGGATATACCCCGCGGGGATACTGTGCTTTTTTTAAACTGAAAAGGAAGACAGAGGAATAATTGATTATTCATTTGATCATGCAGCAGTTTATTGGTCATGTTCGGATCTATTGTTCACTAGTCAGTGCCATATTCAAGCTGCATCACATTATTTAAGTGCAGTACTGTAGACAACTGGACTTGCTTGAGGTTCTTGAAGACGTTTCACCTCTCATTTAAGAGGCTTCTTCAGCTCAAACCGACTGGTTATGAGTCACAGACTTTAAACCCTGTGCAGGTGTGAACCCTTGCAGAGGGTGGCAGTAGCTCAGTCCATAGGGACTTGGGTTGGGAATCGGAGGGTCGCCTGTTCGAGTCCCTGTCCGGACCAAAAATGTGGAGTGTGGACTGGTGGCTGGAGAGGTGCCAGTTCACCTCTTGGGCACTGCTGAGGTGCCCCTGAGCAAGAACCCCCAAACCCCCCAACTGCTCGGAGTGCCTGTCATGGGCAGCCCACTCTGACATCTCACCACTTAGTGCATGTATAGGTTCAGTTTGTGCATGTGTGTGTGTTCAGACCTGTGTGTAATTGACAACAGAGTGTAAAATTGAATTTCCCCTCGGGGATTAATAAAGTATATATATATAAAAAAAAAGAGTCATTGAGGTCACGTGTGAGCTCTAAGTTTCGGAGTCATTAGGGTCACCTGTGAGTTATTGACCAGTCAGCCATCATGAGGGTCATTAGGGTTAGATGGGTCCAGGTATGAATGGGTACTAAGCTCTTTCGGGAGGGAACTCAGGACTGCATCATAGGTGGGTGGTAAGTGGTGTCGTAGGCCACCTCCTCTGTTTAATGATGGTCATACCAGTTTGACGTTGATGGCTTCTTTCATGCCTCTTTCAAGCCATCTGTCATCTTTGGTCAAGATCTGAACATTGCTGTCCTCGAAGGAATGTCCCTTTTCCTTTAGATGTAAATGGAAAGCTAAGTCTCGACCTGAGGAGCTGGCTCTCCTGTGTAGTGCCATGCGCTTGTGGAGTGGTTGTTTTGTTCCCTAATGACAAAACTATGAAACTCAGAGCTTATGCATGACCCTAACGACTCTGAAACTCTGACCTCAGCTAGTTCCTGCCATGTTGAGGCAGAGGGTGCTGTCTGTAGCTCTGGTTGAGGGTAAGAGGCTGTCAGCAGATAAACAGAGATCTGTGTGGGTACATGAGACCCTTAAAAAAAAGAGGCTGGATCATGGGGAGTACCACCAGTTGGTCCAGGAGCTTCTCCTCCATCATGGACGTTATCAGGCATATTTTAGGATGACTCGGGGGCAGTTTGACAACCTGCTGTCTATCGTCAGGCCGTATAGCTCTGGGTATCCGGCAACCACTACCACCAGTTTCTCCTCCATTGTTTACCAACAACAACTGTTTGTTTGTTTACAACTGTAAAATTGTTGTTGTGACCACCACAGAAGGATCATCCAGCTGGACAATGGGAAAAAAGCAGAGATGATGTGAGGCGCTTTTCTGCTCTGAGGTGAAGTTTTTTCAACTCAAGGAGTTCAGAGCGCTCCAACAAAAGAGCCAGGCGCCTAGAGCGCAGAAACACGAGGCACATGGCGCAAAAACAGCGAGCAAAAAGCTTCATTCTCATTAAAAACTATTACAAAAAGTCACTTCCAGTCGCTGAAAATGTAAAAAGTTATTGCAATTAATTTAAGTTTCTTTTTGCTGCATGTGGATGCAACAGCAAGTAACAATACTCATTTAGTCTAAATGTGTCTATTCCTGTGTTGTGTCAGCTGAGATCAATGCCATAATATTAAATACCAGCGTGGAATTCTCAAGGTAATCAGCATGTGACATAAAAAGTTGACAGAAATAAGTCAGTCAAACAGAGACACTCTGTGGAGATAATGAGGAAAACAAGCTAACTGTTGACACATGATCTAACAGCTGCACCAGATCTATAATTATTACAGAAAGACAGAAAATGTGCAGGTGATAAAGTTAGAGAAATACTGAAAACGAGTCTGGAAATATCTTCTGACCTCTCGTCACTGTCACTGCCACTGTCACTGTCACTGCCACTGTTGCTGTCACTGTCACTGTCATCCCCTCCTCCTTTTCCATCTTTGCCTCCTTCGCATTTTCGTGCTTGTGCTTCTTCTGATGACACACAGCAAAAAGCAACAGTTACAAGTAGGAACAGCTACATTCATTAAAATCTGAAGTACACAAGCTCCCAAAGTTTGTATCGATGACCAAGCAAACATCCATGTGGACAAAAAAGTAGAGTGTACACAGACAAAACACAGTGAAAATGTAGCAGTGAGGAAAAACATGCATAATGTTCGAGGAGATGACAGTCGTCTTCACATTTCTTCTTACTATGGTCATACTTTATCACAGACTTTATTTTGACAGGTATTTGCAAAAAGAATTATCTGTTGTTGTTAGATAGGGTGATGAATTTTATAACTGCGATAGCACAAACCTCAGTGTCTGTAGAGCAACCACACCTCACCTGACAATATTTTGCTCTTTCTGTGTGTCAGACTTGAAATGCATTTGTGACGGGGTTGATTTGAGCCAAAACAGGTTGTTAAGTTGCTCTTGAATGATCTACCTCATGGGCACCTGTGTTTTTTTTAAGAGTCCTCGTAATGTAACATACTGCACATGTCCCCACAGTGTAGGTTAAGTAGGTAGAAACACACGTGACATATTAAATTCTTACCTGATGCTATGAGTCCAATGGCCAGCACTAAAACACACACACACAAACAGTTAAATTCAGACATTTAACACACTCCAATAACACTTACAACACGAGTACAGCATTCCTGTCACTGCACATACAGATCAATACACAAAGATATTGATTAAAAATAGAAAAGAGCGTGGAATATCACTTTAATATCTGGAAATGTATGAAATTTATTGTTCTCTGGTCCTAGTTTTAGTGCAACCTTATATTAATCTTGAAAAAAAATTAGCAATTCAGCAATTATTCCATCAGTTGATTAGCCGACTGATGGAAAATTGACAGTCACTGGTTTCAGCTTTTCTAACATTAGGACTACACAAGGACACTGGGACAGTTTGACTGATGTAATATTTAATCAAATCAAGAAAATGAGTGGTAGATGAATTGATATTGAAAAAAAACAAAAAAACACTGACAGCCCCTAAAAGGAAAAAAAACAAGACAAAATCTATTTCCATTTTTATTTTCATGAAGTCAAAAAGTCCCTGTCAAGGACAAAGTAGTCTAAACTTCAGATTAAATCGAGATGCATGGACCAAATGTCCTCAGAACAGTTCAAGAAATAATTCTGGCTCTAGATTGTCTCATCTTTTTTTAGAGAGCGTTAACATTAAAAACATTTATTTTTTAAATGGAGTTCTGAATGTTAATTTCTCAACACAAATACCTGGTTTTAATATTTAACTCTGGGTATAATTTCTCTGTAGATATGGCGTATTGATGGTGCAAAGATCAGACTACTCACAGGCCAGCAGGCTGAACTTGAGTGAAACCATGTGGGCGGGTCTGCAGTCGGCTCTGCAGGCAGCTCACCACGGCACTCGGCTTGTTGTAACCATAAACTTTCAGCTCCAAGGATCCAGAAGAAAGTGACAATTCCTTTGAATCAACCTAATCATTTATACGCTGTGAACTGTCAGTGACTCACACTGTTTGATTAAGAACACACCTCACAGGTGGAACATCTGAGATCAAACACTCGGATCTTATTTTAATAATTGAGACTCCCGGGGTGTTGGAGCAGGGACAGCGGATTAATCATTGGTTCTAATGAATTAATGCCTCGAGATATTCACTTTAAAAACATCACACACACCTAAGAACAGCGTTTACTGACCCAATACTTGGTCAAAACACCAACTTAAACTTCCTAAATGCTTCACTGTCTCTTGTGTCTTTAAATTGATGAAAAAAAAAAAAAAAAATCTTGCCCATGACATGAAATTTTCAAACCCAAGACCCAAGATGTCAACTGCATCACACGCACAGTTCTCCCATATTCAGCCTGATATATCTGAAATCTGTGAAAAATGTCCACTAGAATGTAAGATACAGCTAAAACTTAAAGATGGCGGCGTGCATAGACGCAGCGGTTCATTGCTCTCTCTTTTGGTGCTTCATATGGCTGTTTCTGTACGTGTGTTGTTACTCTTTCTGACAACATGCTGTTTTGCGAACATCTACAGCCGGTACGATCTCCTAAATGTTTTCATAAGCTCTTTTGTTTTTTACTTTTATTTGAACTGAGGAGGTTACATTCAATTTTGTTGCACATGTACGGCAATAAAGATATTCTATGCTATTCTGTGAACTTGACACTGATCTTCGAACTGATATCAAAGTTCACTTCAATTCTTTTTACATCGCAGAGTTTCAGTCAACATGTGTTGTAAGTGGGAGTAATCACAGACTTACAGTCCCCTCCAACAATGACTAAAATGTGACTAAAACTAATAAACATTTTCATCTCAAGACTCAGACTAAATTTAAAATAGCTGTCAAAATTAACACTGATAGACTGCGTTTCATTTCAGACCGCAGCACATGACGAGGAAATTCATCAGCAGCACAACTGAAACAGCTTTAGATTTTCAATGTCACTAATACGTTGTCAACATGTAGCATTTAAGGAGGTTGACTGTTAAAGTATTATGAGACAAGAATTAGGAAGCTAACCTTGTCCGCCATCCTTCCGTCACTAGGACACTACTTCACTGGCAGGAGAGTGGACTGCAGCTCAGACCTTATCTGCTGTAGCAACTCAAATTCAGTCACCGTAAACCACGGTGCCGGAATTCACAGCGAGCTGGTGGCCAGCGGCAGCACTGGGTATAACCTGTGTAACAGCAGCAACAGAAAGTTTGCTGATCCAGTGGTGAATTAGGGTGGCCAACAGGGCTGTCCGGTGTCAGACCCCCGTGCTTGGTGTTGCTCGGGCTGAATTTGAGTTGCTACAACACACTAAGTGAAGGTCCGTCTCTGCTGCCGCCGCAAAATGCAAATAACGCAACTGTGTTGTGGTGGATATTGGTCGTTTATTGATGTTAGCTGACTCCATTTCCTAGCTAACGTTAGCTACTGTTGTACACTGTAGGGCTGTAGCAAACCTGAAGAGAGGCAAGACACTCAGGAACATGCGTAACGTCACATCCTTTGGAGTTCCTCAAAAAATTCAGCCTGAGTCTGTTACACAGGCGTCAGTCCACAGGCTGTAACAGGCAACCCAGGAATTGGGGGAAGGTCTCGGCTTTTAAGTTACAATCTTTTCACCCACTGACAATAAAAAATAGTTGACACAAGTAAAAGCTACCCAGAGAACATTTAAATACAGTCCCCTCAATACTACCGGAACTCAAGGCCATTTCCTTTGTTTTTTGTTGTACACTGAAGACATCTGGGTTTCAGATCAAAAGATAAACATGAAGCAAGAGTTCAGAAAATCAGTGTGTGAATGTCAGTATGTAAAAACCTCCACAACCAACTTCACCCATCATCAGAAAACCTACAAAGAAAGGAACATGAATGTGTCTTTTTAGCTAATTTATTATCTTATCAGGTCATCGAACATTAGCTTTAATTTCATGACTTGACTTGATTCTCACCACAGTAACTTGAGGTTTGCTTGTGACTGGCCTGTGTGACCTTATCTCACCTCTGAATATTTACCTCTGAAGGCGGATTTATACTTGTGCGTCAGCTCTATGCAGAGTTTACACCGTACCCTACGCATGTGGCCTGCGCCATTTGAGCATTGATACTTGTGCGGTGGTGTGTCTGTGTCACTCTGCAGTTACGCCTCCAAAACACTAGTTGGTGTCTGGGTTTTTGTGAAGTGCTGTAAAGTTTAGTTGATTCAAAACATACATTAAACACACATTAAACATGGCTTAATAGAGACCATTTCAAACACAAGTACACAAATCAGCTTCACTATAACTCGCAGCATTCACAGACAAACACTTGTCTTTATCTGGACACATTTTCCCCACAAATACAACATGCTAACGTTATTAGCACAAGCCTATGGCATTTTACATTGTATAAATTAGCATAGCGGCTAGCGATCTTCTCCTCTTCTCATATAAAACCAGGGACAACAACAAAATTTAGCAAAGGTAATGTTACAACATTTGGCTCCAATACAGCTCACAAGGTTTACCGACAAAACAACTGTCTTATACTAAACACGTTTTCCAAACATATATAACATGCTAACGTTATTAGCACAAGCCTATGGCATTTTACATTGTATAAATTAGCCAAGCAGCTAGTGAACTTTTTCTTTTCTCATATCCAGGGACAACAACAAAATTTAACAAAGGTAATGGTACAACATTTGGCTCCATTACAGCTCACAAGGTTCACCAACAAAACAACTGTCTTATACTAAACACGTTTTCCAAACATATACAACATGCTAACATTATTAGCACAAGCCTATGGCATTTTACATTGTATAAATTAACCAACTAGCAACTAGCAGAGATTTCCTCTGCTCAAATGAAGCCAGGATAAATCACACACAGGACTTAAAATACTATTTTTGTGGAGGCTTTATTGTCTTCACAATTTATTGTTTCTTATCTGTGAAATTAAAGGCTCTCTAAGTCTTCCTAAGCTTGAAAAGTTTTTGTCACATACAGCAAACATCTCCTCACGGTCCGCTAGCTACATGTCCTCTGAATATACTGTGAAAAAGTCCGGTCTCTGTAGGCAGCTCAGGCTCCGCACATGCTCTGCACAACAAAAACACTTCACTTCTGTTTACGTTCAATAATGTTATCAAACACAACGGAGCTAGCTCGCCTTTTAGCCTCATTGTAGCCTGTAGCTCTAACTGCCTCTCTGGGCATCGCGTTCATGTGTGCGTGCTTGTGCGAGACCGTGAGACATGGGCACCGCGTTCATGTGCGTGTGCTTGCTTTCGCTGGTCTCACGCTGGCTGGTTGGTGCAGCCTGGACCCAAATGTATTTGCGGAGCCTGGGCTGCCTACAGAGACTGGACTTTTTCACAGCATATTCTGAGGACATGTAGCTAGCGGATCGTGAGGAGATGTTTGCTGTATGTGACAAAAAGTTTTCAAGCTTAGGAAGACTTAGAGAGCCTTTAAGTAAATCAAAGCTTTGTTTCCACTGAGGTTTCAGCTTACAGAAACAGACAGGAGGTCTGTGTCGCCACGACATGTAGTTACATTTTTGGGGAGGTGACAAAACACAAGTCCCCATAATGTAAATCGTTAAATTTTGAGATGAAGATTCAGGTTAAGGTTAAGTGTGTTTGTATGTGTGTTGTAGCAGCGCCCTCCCCTCCAGCTTCTCTAAACACGGAGGTGAACACACACCTCGGGCAGTGATTGTCTTAAACTAATATGTGACTATCATAGTGTGGGTGGTGTTTGTGTTGCCCTGCAGACAGTGTGTAGTGACAGTCCAGTCAGTCTAACTCATAAAAAGGGCCCAACCCAGGAGAAACTGCAATGTGTCATAGTTTTGATTGATCCCAATACCCCGCTTCATCATGTATTACAAATATACTGTCGTGGTTTTAGTGGACTGTTTTTTTTTCAAGGTCAGAAGCAAAGTTTTAAGGCTCTACAGTGACATGGTCTGGGCAAAATAGTGTTAAGTGTTAATCCATCTTTACGGAAGTTCTGTAGGCCGATCTTTTCTAATAAACACTTTTTTCAGAAGATAGTCTGATGTATTACACTGAATTTGGGGCTCTGATACTGAACATCCAATTTTTTGCCAAATGTTTCACTTACAGTTTCTGCCATGCTGCTCCTAGGGGCGTCTAAACTGGGTATAAATGTTTCCTCATAGACTCATGTTTAGTATCTATTATGCCATCATTCATTGTAAGTTCGACATCTATGTTGCGATCGTAGCCCAGGGGCATGGGTGCAGATCCCGGGGGGGGGGGGGGGGGGGGGGGACATGTCCCCCCCAAATTCTGAAAAACACAAATTGCCCCCGCCCCAATTCTAAATAGCTTAAATGATTGAAATTGAATAAATGTATACAGTAGTCCCATATACTGGGAGAAAGGGAAGATGATGAGGAGAAATGGGAATCCGTGAGAGGCTAGAGATGAGAACGTGAGTGGACGTAACATGCCTGAGACCCTGAAACTAGAAGTAGCATTAACTAACAGCGAAGCAGTGAAAAGGAGGGTGATGGCTGGTTCCATGTACTACTGGCTGTTTAAGAGAAATAAACAGTAAAGGTTAGCATATGATTCTCTTTGTAGTGCTTTTTGAATGATTGGTGATGGTGATGAGCTTCTACGAAATCGTGAAATATGCTGGCAATCTTAAGCGCTCTGTGGGCATGATTTGCATGCGTGCAATTAAAAAAAAAATCACAACTGATTGTGTCCCCCCCAAACTTGTCATCAGATCTGCACCCATGCCCAGGGGAGATGAAGGGTTGGGTTGATGAGGAGATTCGGAGTGTGTGTGTGGGCTGACTGGTTCTGTAGGCAACTTTAACTGCTTTACTCTTATTGTCTTATTTTTTCATTCACTTGCAAAAGCAATATGGAACACTGTGCCTCATGATGATGTGCCAAAAAGAGACCCATGGGTTCTTAAGGGGGATTTACTCTTGTGTGGCAGACCCTACGCACATGGCCTACACCGTTTGAGCATTTATA